ATATATATATATATATATATATATATATATATATATATATATATATATATATATATATCAAGAACGTACCATCAGTAATTACTCAGGTAGGTAGCTTGTGATATTTGTGAAGTAAAATGTACAAAAAATAAAATATTTTGCATAATAATCAGAGTAACTTTCATAATTTTATTGGATTAAGTGCATATTGTACACAGAAGGAAAATGTAGCCACTGATCTATTTTATTTAGGGCAGGTACTGCTACCCTTGCCTATCCAGACGGCATATATCTATATATCTGACTTATATATATATATATATATATATATATATTGTTTCGAATTCGCAACGTATAAATGTATGAATGTCAGGTTCCCAAAAAGAATAAAAAGAAAAAATGGTTTCGCTCAGATAGGAACACACGAACAGGTACCGACAAACAACAAACGCAAGATTAACCTTTGTAAATAAATTTTATATGACAAAATGTAAAATATGTGAAAAGTATGGAGTGACAGACGTACAATTAATAAAAGAACACTTAACTGATATTGGATGTCAGTTCAAACTTTTGTGTTTCAGGAATTTGGAGTTCGAATGTTCGTAATGACAGACAGACAGAGTTGCTGTAGAATGTTCACAAAAGTTGTTTGTTGTTTGTTCCGTAATGTGAAATATAGAATTCGGGAATAATGTTTGCATTCTGTTTCCCCTTGGTCGCTTGGATTGCCTCCAAGATGAAAGTAAGATGTTTTCTCTGTATTTATTTGGATACGGTATTCCTTTATTCTTTACCCATGAAATAGTCAAATAGACCCAAGATCCCAGGGACGAAATTTCCTTATTCCCTACACAACAAGTAATAGAATAGGCTTGTAGGTGTATTTCTCATCCATTACAGTCGCATGATGAGAGTCTATTTTTTTCATGAACTGTTGTTGTTGGAGGTAATCTGAAAACTAAAATTACAATACCAAATTCCCACTTGATGATGTATGTCACGGGAGCGTAATTGATCGCTTTTTACTCTCTTTCCTAGGAGATCATTCTGTTTGTTGTGAAGCAATCCCAAATTCCTTTCCTACCATTTCTTACGAGGTCATTCTGTTTGCTGTCAAGCGACCCCCAAATTCCTTTCCTGACCTTTCTTCGCCGAAACAAAAATCAGTCCAGACAAATAGTAAACAAAAAAGGGAAAGGAGGAGAAGGAGAAACACAAAGACAAGCGCGTCTCTTATTAAATTTATTGTACGTCTGATTTAACAGTTAACATTGAGGGGTATGTCACAATATATATATATATATATATATATATATATATATATATATATATATATATATATATACCTGTCATATTGAAACTTTCATATGGATGCCGTGCACTCCTTCCTGTGCGTTGTCCCATGACTAATTTATCTTAACAAAATAGCTGATGCTACACAAACAACAGCTGGCGGATCAGAGAGCATGTAAGTATTTAGACATAACAATCTCTTATAGTTAACGAACATGCACAAAATTAGCCGTAGAATCTGTTATTACCATAGACAAGTTCTACGAGGGACACTTATATATATATATATTATTAATATGAATAAAAGTTTGTCACTTAACTGATTGATGTTACTTTCAGCATCTTGACGCCAGAATTTCATAGGCGAACTTGTCCGTCCACTCTTCAGGGGATATCAGCAGTATAGAGAAAAATGGATAAATATGTGCATGATGTTTCCTTATGTTTTACGTAATATGACATGACGACAATTTAGCAAGCTGGAAAAATACCGACTAGTATGGCTTTAAACCTGATAAACCTGTCTCTTGTAATTCTTCAAACGAAGTGAGATGAAAATGCCGACGAAAACTTTTCGTACCTTTCCCAGGAAATGCATGTTGGGCAGTTAAAGTGAAAGATAATAGATAACTACAAAATAGTTTTCCTTCATTTCAGGTTTATGAAGAATGGTTAAACATAATGGGATTTTTCCGTTATATGGACACAGATAACACATTACACCTGAAGCAAGCATTTGCAAAATACATTGGAATAATGACCTAAGAAATATGCCGCTAAGACATTGAAGAGTTTAGATAAATCTTATATGAACACACGAGACATTCTTTTACAAAGCAATGCTTTCTTTATAAAAACTATGCCCAATACAACGTGGGATAATTAAAGACAATATTAATGCTAAAAATAAAAATAACAAGCGATACAAAACTGAGTGAGATCGATTAAGTTAAGCTAAGATCAGACAAGATTAAATTTAAAGGATGAACATTTATGTTTCTTCAACATTTTAATGTCAACTCTAACAGGCGTTTGTTGTATTTCTCCGCCAAACATTTTATATATAAATCAGATTCCATTGATAAAACTTATTTATCTGAAAGAAAAACATCATGAGTAAGTTTTTCCATTTTTTCATTCATTTTACCTACTATTGTTCTGATATAGTAGTGATTTAATGAACATTTCTATGTTTCTGATGTACTCATTTAGAGACAAAGGCACTATGACTTGTACGATGAGCATGCTAACCTACAAAAGCAGAAGTTTCCTCAATATGAATGGAGCTGATCTGTTTCACACACACAGTGGTATGTTACAAACAAATTAATGTTATACTTCTTATTTACGAATGTTTAGAAAATGAGATTTCACAATAAGGGGCAAAACATTTGTTAATTTTTGTTGTTTCTATTGAAAAATATTTTTTAACTTTTTTATTCGTTTGTCCTTATAAGGATTTGCCATTAAAAATTTGCCGCTTTTTTAAAGATGCAAATTATTCAAATGAACTCGACGAAGAGAGTAAATGAATTGAAGTGAACATTTCATGCATGTGGCCTTGGGCGTCTGGGTTTTTAAAAGTATAACAATAATATGGCGAATGGAAATGTCTTCAATAGATATGCTCGAATTTATTCATGTTTTAAAATACTGATGGCATGACTGTATCGATACAAATTAATCAGAACAATTTTATGAGATTACAATCGACTTTGTATCTACTACAATTGTTCATACGGTTATTAATAATGTTGGTCATTTGTATATATTGATATTGGATTGAAACAAAAGTTCGTAGCGTTTTTCAATAAGTGAAATTTGAACATTTGATTTCACATTAGACTAACATTTACTACATGCTTTACTCTGTTAGTTACATTATTACTACATGATTCTAATTTGATTTCACATGTGATTAAAACATTACTACATATCAACATATTCTGAAAGATGACTTTTCTTTCACGAGTTTTTCTATACAATTCATGTGTGGATTGTGAATTTTAAATGTTTTGTACTTTAAAAATGAACATGGAGGAAAATGAGACGCATTTTCGTTATTTGATTCTCTTTTATTTTTGGAAAGGTAAAAAATCGCTGCATAAGCAGAAAAAACATATACGTACCGTTTGTAGAGATGGTGCCATAGCTGAGAGTATTGTTCGTTTGTGGTTCGCTAGATTCAGAAGGCATTTTGAAAATACGTAGATACTGGATGCATCTTGATTTAATGGAAAAGCAGAAGATTTAATCGACTGCATTTCAATTTGCGATTCTATGTTCTAACGAATCAAAACAACCCTCTTTTAAAAATAAAGATCAGAAGCGATGAAAAAATGGTTTGATTATAGCAACGAAGCGAAAACTGAGGGAAACGAAAAGATCCTCTATTAATCCGTCCAAAAGGTGGTCTGCGCCTGAAGAAGGTGAATTCTGTGTATCTGGCAGGATTAGAAGAGCATTATGTATTACGAATTCCTTCCGCAAAATCAGACGTTGAATTAACACAATTACTGCTCCCAATTGGATCGATTAAAAACACCAATCGATGAAACCCATCTAGAATTGGCCAATCAAAAGTGAATCGTCTTCGTCTTTGATTGATTGACTGATTTGTTTTTACAGCTTATCACCCCCTTCGTAGTTTATTTAAAACGGAAACATTTTGGATTATAAGAATAATTCTTTTTTTTTGTAAGCAAATATTCTATTTTTTTTATCATGATATTTTTAGAATAACAATGATTTTTCCAGACAAATTCCTACTATTTAACCCATAGCTCAGAGAGGAGATAGATTCATACCTTACCCAAGAGTATTCGCTCGTGAGTGAATGTAACGAACCCAACTGGTTTTCGAACGCGGCTCTCTGATTTCTCATTCTGAATCTCTATCCATTACACCACCCGCACATCAATGTTACCACTGATGAAATGATGAAATTCAATATTTGTATTTTTGCTCTAAATAAAGCGTAGATTTTACAACTACATGGTTCACAAGATTTAAAAACACTTTATACTGGTTACAAATTATTTTTTTCTTATTCGAATACAAATATAATATTTTCATGAACCGTTTCTTAAGGCTTTACCGTCCACGAAAATACTGAATAGATATTTATGAATCTGAATCGAATCTGGTACAAGGCTGCAAGAATGAGAGCTTAAAGTGAAATAGTTTGCAAGACATGCTTGTTAACCATTGTATGTTGTTTGGCATTCATAAAATTTACCATTCAGTTCAAGATGCCCCAATGACCCACACGAATTTAACTTTTTAATTATTATAAATTGTGTTCGTGAGATTGGAATTAAAAAAATCCATTTGACATTTCAGTACTGAGTATGTGTCAAGAATAAAATAAAATAAACTTTCAATTCATAAAAGCCATTTCAAACTTTTAGTAATAAAATATAAGAGAAATGGGAAAAGAAAGAAAGAAAGAAAGAAAGAAAGAAAGACCCCAATGAATATTAAAGAAAGAAAAATGAAAGTTAAAAGGAACGGGTGTAAATCGTACTGCAGGGAATTGATGTTGCTCTTCTGTAATTATTGCATAAATAAATGCACTGGCTTGTCCAACGTACAAACCATTGCAGCCATTTGACAGACGACCTATGTCAACTACAGAAAAAAAAATCTTGTAAGCGGACGTCTAGGGAAATTGGGTCTAAAGTTTCCTGATATGTTTATACGTTTGAGACATAATTTATATTTAAATGTACTCAGTTGAGATAGAAGAAACGAGCGGGTTGGTCGTGACAAACTGTGGCGAACCAAGGGGTTTTTCTTTCTATCTCCCCCTGAACACACCTTTCTGTTTATTTCAGTGTTTTCCACTAAAACATTTACAAGATTTATCCCTGTATATTCTCCATCTTTCCCATCTCTACCTCTCTATCCCTTTATATATATATATATATATATATATATATATATATATATATATATATATATACGAGAGAGTAAATTTAATTTTCATGCAACGTATCTAATCTTTTTCTTTTTACAAGCTTACACAGATTTATCATATTTCTTCTTCTTCTTCTTCTTCTTCTTCTTCTTCTTCTTCTTCTTCTTCATGGGATTAACCGAATGTGCAAAGAGATCTACGTCCTCTCTTTCTCTCCCTTTCAATTTTTATAGTTTACAACTCAATTCATGCTATAATCCCTTTTCTTTAACATCTATCTATCTATCTATCTATCTATCTATCTATCTATCTATCTATCTATCTATCTTCAGTGTTTCTATTTAATCGTTTCAGAAATAAATTTTTACTCAAAATTTAATCAAAAACATAAATTTTTCATTTCTGCATAGCACACTTTTAAATATATGTATCGGAAAAAAGGCATTCGCAAGTAAGAACAAATTCGTCACTGTATTTATGCAAGCATATACGCGCCTTCATGTATCTTGTGTATACATAAATACATACATTGATACATACATATATGTGTATGTGTTACGAGCGAGCACAAACACACAGAAACAAAAAAGGACATAACTTCGATTTAATAAATGCCACCCTAATTAGAAAATAACTTTATAACGTAGAAAATGATCAGAAGGAATCCTGATAAATATTTTAACTTCGATAAACACACGTTAAACACATTTTATTATATCACCAATTTTTATAAAATCTCTACTTACAGAGTCTAAGATCTGTCTACCTGCAACCACAACCTAAATTCTTTCAGTCTAAACAAATGACATCTCTAAATCAACAAACGAACACATATTATCAACCAAATACCACATAAATCAACTAGAATTATGATACACAAACACACAAGAATTATCCACACGAACGTTACTTGACAGGACAAATAACGTAAAGTCTGCTTAAACAATGAAAAACACAAAAGTAAAAAATATCAGAATTTTTTTTCTTCATATTTCATTTTACATTATTTGTTAAATTTATAAATGTTATCTTATTCTATCATTCATATATGTGTATGTGTGTGTGCGTGTGAGTATCTATCTGTGTATATGTTTATATATTTATTTAGAATACAGTCCTATAAAATATGAATATTTAAGCAGTGTTTATTGAAGACACCAGTAGAGATTTGTTTTCACATTTTCCCCTTGTTTTCCTGTAATATAATTGATCTTTGATTTCAGTATGGTAGGCGTAAAAACTGTCCATACATATTTATATTTGATCATCATTGGTCATTTTCAGGAACGTGAAATGAAAATGTCATCATTTTAAAATTCCAGAAAATCTTGATATATTTTATATTCATAACGCTTGATGTTCGTAAAAATATAAATTCAATTCAAATTTTGAACATGATGATGATTATCTCTTGTTACAAGATATGTTGATGATTATCTCTTGTTAAAGTATTTGCAGTATTTACGCAATTTAAGCCGAGATTTTATTACTTAAGAATAATTATTGTGTGTATAAATAGGTTTCATAATTATGGCTTAAATTATTTGCAATATTTTTGCAACGTATATCGACATATATTTGTTTAATACTGAGTGGAATATAATAACCAGGCATCAATAAAGAATTATTTCAGACAATAATATTTATTTTTAAGAGAATTTCCTGTATTTTCAGTGGGCTTAATTCAGTGGCTAATGTTAATGACATAAATGTAAAATTATAGACTGAAAATTTCAGATAAAAGTAGCTGCGAATAAATATGCATTAGGTTGTGGGCTTATTGATCCACCGTCGTAAATACACACACACACACACACACACATATATATATATATATATATATATATATATATATATATATATATAAATGGTGGTACTTGCTTGGAAAAAAAACTTGGATAATTCGACTTGTAATAGAAAAAAATCGGTAGCCAAGGAAAAATGAGGAATAAAAAAGAAAGAACCAAGAACATAAAACTAAAAGCGAAAACAATCGTCCAGAGTTCAAGCTCAAAGTCCAAAGAAAAAAACCTCCAAAATGAGTAAAGGCAACTACGTAAAGTTCTCAATACACGAAGTAGAGCAATTTAAGATAATCCTAAGGAGCCAGGCAAACCTATTTAGGTTTTCACTAAACGGATCGTCAGGTGAAACGATCCGTTTAGGTGAAACCTAGGTAGGTTTGCCTGGCTACTTAGGATTATCTTTTATATTTATATATATATATATATATATATATATATATATATATATATATATATATAAAATGAAGAAAGATAGTTTTAAGGTGTGTTATATATATGGAATAAATTGCTCAATATCAGAGATAGAGCGTATGTAAATATAAATATAAAAGTGAACATTGAAGTCAACACTCAGAGGCGATAGGCTGTTTCATGTTAGACGCAATCGTCAGACGGCCTTGCTTCTTATGCGTGAGTCACAGTTGTGCGAGAGACCAACAAAACTGAATGAGTAAATTGTCTAGATTTTATATTTTTAATTTTGTTCATGCACGTTGTTTGTTTTTGATGTTGTCGACTGTAAACGGTCTGTTGCCATAATCTATGCCCTAAGTTCATCTTTGGTGTTACAAGGAGTTTTATTGGTCTCTTGCACAACTGCGCCTCACGCATAAGAATCAAGGGGTTGCAGTCTAGGTAGTTAGGTTACCAGATAAAAGGGGTAATGTAGTCGCAGAAATTGTCTGGCAGCAATAACTGGGTTTTCCTGCTTGCGTAGCAGTGTACAGAGTCCTGTTGGCAGATATAGGGTCTTCCAGCAGCCAGCCTATTGATCTAGGACAGCTCTACATCCTCAAGGTACATGATGTAGGCCTCCTTGCTGAGTCTGAGGCCCTCACCAAGAAATGGAGGAAAACTTTTCTTATCAGAATGATCAGAGTGAGTTTTCTGAGCTGTCGTACCTTCGTAATCACCAATTAGACTCATCCAACTCTTTCCGAATCATCTACACTGTCTTCAGAATGACACCCAAACACTCTGAAATATTCGTATTGGAGCTTCAAGCAGTACATCATGCCGTTTCCAAATTTTTTTCGGAGTAAATTGATTTATGGTCCTCTTTTTCTCACGGGCTGTGCCCAACTGACCCTACTATACTGTGCAGTAGACAAGATCAAAAACAAACAAAGCGCATGCGCGAAATTAAAAAAATAAATAAAATGGCGACAATTTACTCATTGGCCTTTGTATAATAACTATACATTAGGCTGTGGGCTTATTGATTCATCGTCGTAATAATTATATATATATATATATATATATACGTGTGTGTGTCTGTGTGTGTATGTGTATGGGGGATTATATATTGAAGTTTGTATAAAAAAAATTAAAATAAATGTGATAATTCAGCTTCAATATTTGAATGACGTCACATTGGATGATTTGAAATTCGTTCCAACGATCGAAGAAACGCCGGAAGTAACCAAAACCAAACACAGAAACGCACAAAAAACGAAATCCTTAAAAACGAATGTAGCAACCTTCCAAAGTAATCGGAAGGATGGAGGGAGAACAAAAAATAAAAATGAAATTTTGATAAATTTACCGATTATATAAAACTACTTATTCGGTGATTTTAAAAAGGTAATAAAAATTGGAGAGACAGAATTTGTCGATATTATTCAACCAAACATATTTGAACACACACACACGCGCGTGTGCGCACATATGTGCGCGTATAGATAGATAGATGTGACTATGAACACTTATGAATACAAATGTATAAGTAGTGAAAAGTTAAAATTTGACTAAACATTTTTCAATCCTTTTTTGATGGGAAAGAAATATTTTCAGCACCCCATCGTATATGCATCCCATATATATATATATATATATATATATATATATATATATATATATATATGTGCGTTTGTATGTGTTTGTGTGTGTGTATGTGTTGAAAATTTGCTTTCGAGTTTGCTACATGTATACCTCATAGTACCATAAACTGTATATGTGCGCTTACTTCTAAACCTATTGTGTACAGATGAATGACTATCTTGTATGTGTGCATAAGTGAGTGAACAGGTTATTTATTTTGCCGATTGTCTTATTCGTATTTTCTATTTTAAATTCACAAACATAAGTATGAATGAGATAACTGGATGTATAATATGTCTATCTTTGTCTGCATACATTACGGGTGTGTATATATAATACCTCTATATTAAAATCCTATAATACGAGTATTTATGTGAAGCGCAACCACACACACACATACATATATATATATATATATATATATATATATATATATATATATTGTACACAAGATAATTTAAGTGGCGAGGGATATATAAATAATCATATATATATATATATATATATATATATATATATATTCCATATCCATTTAAATTATCTTGTGTACACATATGTATGTATGTAGGTAGGTATGTAAATGAAGAATAGAAGCGGTTATCTCCCTTTTCCCCAATGTCGCAAAACACTGAGAACTTGGGTCATTACATGATTTGTGTAACATACGAATATAAAAATCAATGTAAAGAAAACATAAAAAAGGCGAAGAGGAAGATGGATGAACTGTGGTGGAATTGGAAGCGAGTTAGATATGTCCAATGTGATGGCAATGTTTTTATTTCCTTTTTTTTTTTCTGCATCTTGTTCCTTCTGAGGAAATTTATCTTATCGTCTTCGTCTTTGTTGCAACCGCGCGTCCAGAGTTATTTTATTACCAGGTACTTATTAAAGAAAGATCCATAGTCGACATTTTTCCCTTCTATCTTAATGTTTTACTCCCTATCAGTTTAATATTTTTATTCTCTCTCTCCCTCCTCTCTCTTTACTCTGCTTTTTTATTTATTTATTCGTGCACGCCTTTTCGTACTTCTTATTTATATCACAGTTTAATTCTATTCTTCTTTCGATCACGTTTCATTCTCCTTTTATTGTTTTACATTATTCATTATTTCTTTATTTTATGTTCTTCTTTATTCTTTTTGTTCTCTAATTTTCATTCTCACTTCCTCTTTTTTGTTATTCTTAGGCTTTTTTTTAATCCTACATCCGTTTTCTTTCTTTCTTTGTCAATTCTACTTTTATTCACTCTCTTTTGCCCTCTTTTTCTTTAATAGATAATGATACTTTTAAAGAAAAATGAATATTAGCTTTATAGAAATCCAGATGAGATATTCCAGAACATTTATGGTCATTTGGACATAGATTCGAATTTACGAACAAAAGTGTGCGTGGGAGTAAGTGTGTGTGTGTGTGTGTGTGCGCGTGTCGCGCACGCGCGTGTGTGTGAGATGTCACTGAGGCATATATGAAAATATATTTTCAAGTTTACAATTGTATGCTTGTGTCTGTTTACAGTGTCTTACGGCGGAAATATTATATTACAAATAATATATAGTGTTGCCCCACACGTACATACTTAATCATTTAATGCTTAATCATTTATATATATATATATATATATATATATATATATATATATATATATATATGTATGTGTGTGTACATATATATATATATATATATATATATATATATATATATATATATATATATATATATATGTATGTATGCATGCATATGTGCGTGTTTGTTCGAGTGCGTAAGAAAAATATAATAAACCCTGAATCAATAAATATTATTCTCTCCCGGGGAAAATACAGAAATTCATGCATACAGATATCTTTCAGTCTTACTTGAAGGTTTTACTTATCATTTATTCCCCACTAGCGCCACTAGTCATGTTCGAACCCTCTTGAAAATGTTTCGAATGCTGTTTTTAAAGACATGTAGACTCTACCTATCCACATTGGCGCATTGCAGTACCTATATTCGTCGTTTAGTAAGTATCTATCTATTTATCTCTCTCCCCCTCTCTCTCTCTCTATATATATATATATATATATATATATAGAGAGAGAGAGAGAGAGAGAGAGAGACAGACAGACAGACAGACAGACAGACAGACAGAAAGATATTCATAAATATATCAATTACTTATGCCATGAATTAGCATAAAAATGGTATCACGATGACGGTTATATTTAGTAGGTACGCATGTTTGAGTAGAGACCCCTTAGTGAAATTCAAGCTTGATTTATCATTAAGCTCAAGCATGATTTATCCTTAAGTTACGAGAAGCTATTACAGAAAATCAATTACAATTATCCTATTTAAAAAAAAAAGCACATCTCTCGCTGGGACTGTTCAAAGTATATATCTGCTAAGTTAGATTTGGAAAGATTTTTAGGCTTGAAAGCAGTTTCACGGATTAAAAAGAAAATTCTGTCCAATTTCTGGAGGGTCATTTTCTTTAGTAAGACTTTTGGCCTGTAAGCCAGTACACATAAAGTTCACTATTTGAAAAGCCATAAGAAATAATTTCCAAGATATTTTAAGCCACAATCTGAGCTTCATAGTTTTTTATCTAAAGTTTAGTATTTGATCTTCTTTAGTAATAACCGTTAATACGTCATTAGTTGAGCAAAAGAAACGAAAACCATATTTTGTTTGTTTCAAAGACGATTCGTGCAAAGTGAGATACTTAATTAATTCTGTGTTAATTAGGGCATCTAGTGATTTGCCAAAAAGACGTAAAAGATTAATAGGACGATACATTGTGGGATCAGAAAGTTCAGCGAAGTTCTTAGACAGTAGCAACAGATGAGGATTTCCAACAAACTGGAAAGCAACAAGTATAAAGACATTTCTTGTAAACCTTAGAGAGAACAGGATCCAGTTTTTTTTAGGACAATTGCATGAATACCGTCAAGTCAGAATGCTTTGGGGTGGGGATCTAGATTATAGCGGAAACTATGAACGGTGTTATGTGCATAAGACACAGTATAAATCCGATTATAGGAGGAAAATCAGGCAAAGATACTCCTGAGGAGTCGAAATTGAAGTTAGAAGCGAACAAAAGAGCAAAGCATTTTGCTTTATCATCGCTATATGAGAAAATTTAAAACTTATTGAAGATTTACCATTGTTTAACACACTCTTAGTGAGCCGCCAGTAATCACAAAACCAAACTTGTGACAAACTATACGGTGTCTCATTCTACCAGCGAATAGCGACCTGTCTTCGTTGAAGATGTGCTTACAATTACTACGAGCGGACACAAAGAATTGTCTGTTATAATCCGAACTATTATGCTGGCATAGCAAAAGGAAGGGATTTCTGTGGACTATAGCGCCTGGACATGCAGGAGTGAACCAAGGAGAAGATTGTGGCTTTACTTGATATTTCCGCGATGGCACGAAAGCATCAATGCTGGCTTTCACCTAAGAGGCACAATAGGAAGATTAAAAATTTAATTTCAAGGAGCGTCGCAAGTTCAGATGAATTTTTTTAATCCAACATTATTTCTTATTTTTAATAGGTACACATATATGAGTTATCCTTGATTATTTTTTAATTTTCTTAAACAGTGAAATTAATGACGACCAACATCGATCAAGAAGTATTCCTGTTGGGAAGCACGATTTTTATTTAGTAGGACTTCTCGATCACAGCCGCTTGTTATTAATTTCACTGTTTACGAAAATCAAAAACGAGGATAACAACTCAAACTTCTTCACATTTAGAGGTGAGAATGCCCAGCTTTGATTACTGAAAAAATGAAGTCATACGAGTGCGAATCGGTTTGTTGCTTTTAAAATTTCTTTTTAATATTAATGTCAATAAAAATTAATTGGAAGTACATTTTAATGGTTAGCGACTATGAAGGAGCCGAGTTCAAGTCGAATTCGTTACATCTGTTTTCGTACAGATGCCCCCTTAGAAAAGTTATATAGCTATCTCTTACTCCCTTGGTTATTGGTTAAATAGCCAGGAAGGCTTTGCTCTCTAGCTGTAGTTGGCAACCAACTTAGGAGAAGGACAACTCTGAATTCAACCACATGAAATGATGCAAAGTTGCTTAGTTATGGGGTACAATTACCATATCAGTAAAGATAACAAGATAGATTTCAACATCTATGGATAATCCTACGAGAAAGTGATTATCCAGAATACCGGTGACACAAACGGGCATTGGGCCTAAGGAAGATGTCAGGTGTCAATATTTTAATAAATATTGATTTAAAATAATTTAATAAATAGTGATTTTAATAAGTATTTTAATAAATATTAATTTTTGGTGAACATTTTAATAAACATTTTAAGTATATTGTAATAAATAAATATTTTAGCAAATATTCATTTTTTATAAATATTTGATCAAAGAAACAAACATTTCTTTTTGTCAAATCAAGTATATGAACGAATATGCAATTTTTATAATTATTAAGATAAACAATATTTGCACACATTTAGCCAGAATGACTTATGACAAACCAAACAGACACCGAGAAACTCATTTTAATGTTGTTCGTTCATTTGTTTGTTTTTTCAGATTAAAACTGAAAAGTGAAACTCATTTAGATACAAGGAAATCTTTATTAAAAATAATGATTACCATTTTAAATGTCATAGAAATCTTTAAAGTCACATTTTTAGAGTTGTTAACAAATTTAACAAACTCTCACGCCACACCACAAGAGATTTTGAGAGAATTTCCCATGAACACAACAGCACCAATAATCTATATCTCAATTATGGTCTCTCAGTCGTCTCCTGGGTTCACTTAATGAAGGCTTCAAGCTTATATAGGATTTTATATGCGAAACGAGGCTGCTTTTGTAATGTAATTACTTAGGATTCAAGGTGTAACTTATATATGGCACCAGGCCTCAAAGTACGGATCGAATTCACTGCTCAGCCGTAACAGTTTTAGCGAGACAAGCTTTCTAACCATTACACCACGTCGAGGTGTGACCAAAAGTTTGTAAATATGAATTACAGGTCGATCAGGAAGTGCACGATAAAGAAGGCGTTGTATTAATGGATTGCATCAAAAACGTTACCTACATTACATTTTATACATATTTGAAATATTTTATATACATTTTAAAATGACATCACTTACGGATTCTTCATTTTCTAACTTACAGTGTGTTTGGTTTCCTATAAAGTGTGTACTGTATATTATTTTGTATTAACTACTCATATTTGTCTTATGTTTTCGGTTAATTGTTGTGTGATGAACGAATGTGGACGAATTACTTTAAATAAATAAATAAATGTGTTTTTTTGGGGGGGTTGTGTGTGTGTGTGTGTGTGTGTGTGTGTGTGTGTGTGTGTGTGTGTGTGTGTGTGTGTGTGTGTGTGTGTGTGTATAGTAATGTTTTAAGAATATTCATTTAATGCCAGGGACAAAGAGTCACTGAAGGTAAAAGGTTACGGATGGAAGTTATTTTAAGAACAGCAAGAGCATGAAGTAATAGGTACAGTTTATGAAGATATTCTTGAAAGATTACGGTTAACCGTAGACGTAAAAGGGTTAAGATCGTAGTAATCAGAGAAGCATCCTCGGGAATCTGTTCCACAAAGTAGAAGTTCTTGGTAAGAATCTCTCTGAGTGAAACAGCCTTTTTTTTTTTACTAATGGAATAACAAAAAGGAAATGGAGATGATTGGTCGAGGATTATGCAGCATTGAGGGTTTTAGTAATGAATGCAGCTCGTCACACAACATTTGACATGGAAATAGCAAGAGAATAGTGAGAATCTTGTGGCGTTTCACCCGTGGAAAAAAGGATTGTATGGTGGAAAACAATTTATCACTTACAAGGCTGTGTAGATGCTTTTGAACTGGAATGTGAGGACTAACAAATTCTAGCTCAGATATTCAACATAATGCTTAACACACATTACATGTATATTCTAATTATCAATAAAACATAATAATTACTTGCTATATATTGTTTTTACAAATATATATATATATATATATGTGTGTGTGTGTGTTTGTGTGCGTGTGTGTGTGTGAATGCATGCAAGCGGAAAATAATTTCGTAGTCTGACACAGAATACAAGGATAAAGTATTAAACTTTATTTGTAAGACATAATGTTGTTTAGAAAAAGAGACAGCTAAACATATGAGCTACATATTAGGGACGTCCAAATGAAACAGCTGCAAAATTTCAAATATCTGGGTCACAGAACGATGGAAAATGTTACACAGACATCTGAAAGCTCACAATAATAAAGATATCAAAATCTGATGAACTGA